TATTGTTATTGTTATTATTATTATTATTGTTATTTTTTTTTTTTTGTCCCAAATTCAGAATTTCTAAATTCATCCAGTATATTGTATAAGTAACCTCTGCTAATTAGCATGCATCAGCTCTGTTCAGCTATATAAACCATTTGTTATTTTATAAAGTATAGGCCTACGCCCTTATTGTTTATGCTAATAAAGTGTTTAAAGGAGGTTTATTGCAGGAACGGCCGAGATATTCGTTTAGTAATAAACGTATTTATGTCACTAATTTTAACCTTCGTTATTTTTTCTAAAATAATGTGTTGTGCTCTTTATTTATCTACCATGTATATCCATTACACATATTTCAATTAATTGTTATCGTGCTCTGTGAGGATGAATTTGGAAGATTTTCATTAAATGGAATAAAACCCACAGAGGCCTAGAGTGGAAATTTTTTGGTCCCTATTTCTTTCAGTAAGTTAATTAGACTTCACGTATAGTGCCTTGAATACTTTAGAATAAGCCTCTTGATTATAATAATAAATTATTGAGCTTACACTCTCAATGTTACGGTGCGTCAAAACCAACAAAATTACATTAAAAAGCACAAACACAATATTTGAAAGAACCTTTCTTTCGTTTTTTTATCTATTTATTTACCTTATTGTTTATCCTGGGGGACTGCTCAGGGATAAAATCCCTGGTCCTCTTCGGATCCCAGCAAAGAAGATAACAAACAGTGAAACACAAAAAAAAACAAAAAAAAAAACATACACATTGAAAACATACGGTACATTGAAACACAAAAAGCGGTACTACTGCCATTTTTTTAAATTTTTTTTCATAGAAAAAAATCTCAAAATACCATCTTTAAAAACATAATTCATAAGAAGTTAACTAGATTTATCTCTGGACTAAAGCATAACTACAGAATCAATACAAATTTTAAAAAAAATTAAATTAAAATAATAAGAGACAAAAACACTTAAGTATACAAATACAAAGCAGATACATTAATAAATACAGTTATTATAGAATACTTAGGCCATACAATAGGCATACACGCGGGATGAAATGTAACGTACGTAGTGAATGTGGTAGAGGTCAAGGTTGAATGCGTTTCTGGAGACGTGAATGCGTCTCAATTTTTACCATATTTTGGACAATTACCATTATAAAAGTTGGTTTTTATTGATTATAAAGCAGTTTTATACTCTTGTGTGGTAATTATTTTAATCATTTTTGCACCCGTGTGGTCGCGAGTGGTCCTGTGTGTTCCGTGTGGTATTTAGTAGGACCATGGACCTATTAATAATAGGTATAATAATAATATTAATAGGTCCATGGTAGGACCGAGCGGTCCTACTAAACACCGCCCGAGACCGCCAGACAATGTTCTTCAACGCCCGAGTGTATATATGATTAGTATTTTACAAATAAATAACGCCCGAGGAGAGATAATGACTTTTTACTCAAGAATACATACATTTGACCGACAGTAATAAGTTGAATATCTAATAAAACATTAATTTAATTTTATAGACTTTCGGGTGTATCGGTGTGCTGCCAAAAAGCGTAACTCGTTAACTAACACTGATGACGCGTTTAACAATAGACCGTTGACGACAATAATACATACTTTATTCCCCTGCTGTTTAGTCTAATAAATTAAGACCCTCTTGTTTATATTTACTTAATCATAGGCTTGATGATCCTTTTGTTATTATAATTCATTATGTCATCATGATTAACTTTAATCAAATTCGTATACATTATGCTAACTTAAAACCGAAAGGCCCACTGATTAATCTCAGATAAGAAAGTATAATACATACTCCAAGTATTGAAATACACGCCATCGTGTTGGGATTCAATATTTCGACATTAATTCAGAGATCCCAAGTTTAAAAACCAAAAAATAGGGAGATTTTTTTCATGAAGCGATCGCCTCCTGACGCATTACAACGCGCTGTGCAACATGAAAGTACACAAAATGAAGAAAACAAACAATTTTCATCAATTTGTTTACTTTTATTTAACAATTTTACATTTGTTTACACATTGCAGTTGGCCTATAAATTTATAAATATTAATATTTATTTAGCATTTTGCTAGTAAAGCGTTCTTGGCAGCAGTCAACAAGGCTTTGCTTGGTTCATTGGCATGTTAGAGGCTATGGCTGATTTAGTACATCTCATCAAAGAACATAGAATTCTAGCAAG